ATAATTATAAAGCAGAACAGAATCGCTTTGATTTCAGGCATCAGTGTGATATGAAAATAACTATATTCACGGCTGACTACCAGAGGATACAACGTTAATGGTAAAACAGATGTAGGTCCTCATTCGTGATGTATTTGTTACTGTTTACTGACGCTCTGCCGACATCTTATAGCAGGTGTCCTGTTCAATGCAGACAAGTTCAGTCCTGATCAATTACATTTACTGGACAAATGTTCAGTTGTTTATGAATACATTCAGCATGGAAATATCTTTCTAACAGCTGTCTGTAGATCCCTTAAAACCAGTCTTTAAGTCAATTGTGTGCTTCTTTTTTTTGCATTCTGTAACTACTAAAGATCAACGTTCCACTAATTGCTGATATTCTGCTGTCCGTTCAATAAAACGTTTACTTATCATAGAATCACACATCTGTTACAATGCAGAAGGCCATTTGGCCTGTTCTGTCTAATCTGACTTTACAAGTATGTATCTTATCTCATCCATTCTACTGTCATCTACCCTTAATGCTGTTCAAATCTCCTCGACCATATCACTGATAACGTGCAGCATTTTTCTCTTGTTGAATAAACCGAGTCCATCTTCTGACTTGATTTTCTGATGAAAGTTTCATCAATCGAGCAGCCATCCAGACAGTGCATGGAAACTGAAATTTTTATACATCAACGAATTGATGTTTTGTTCACGAGAACGTTGCTTGAAAGCCTGATCTGTTGCTTCATCAAAGTATTCTCAATAATCTGACCGTTTATTCTTATTCCCAGTTTTGCAATTCCCTCGTCACAGCTGTCATCTTCAGTACAAAGAATCCACTTATAAATATGTATTTTCAATGGCAAATAAACTAGTTCAAACAGGAAATGAAATAACATATTGTTTTACATAAAGAAATATGATCTCTCAAAAAAGTTGTATTTTCCAGGAACATGATAGGATAAAAACGTAGTCTATTCTACCAAATAAAACTGTCTTTAGAAGACTCTGATCACTGCATCTTCCTCCTTGGCCTCCAAAAATAGTTGCAAGCAACTTATGAAGTACCCCGTTATCAAAATGGAGGCTGTCCAACTGACACTGTCACTTTATTCCCTTCTCCTTGTTCAGCAAGGCAAAATTGACATAAATTTTAATCCTGAGTGTCCGCTAAATTCATATTCCCTTTGTCATGCCCTCAATTGGTACGCAAGTCTTACCCCAACCAAACTAGTGAGCGCTTAAATTAATTGCCTGATTTATATGCTTTCTGCTCTGAGTAGAATCTTCATGTATTCAGCCATGTTTTCTGACCCGTTCAGATCCGACATGAAATCTGATTTGTGGAAAGATAAACTTAATATCTCAAATCCAACTGAGGGCTCTGTTGAGAGGGATGCTGAAAGGAGACGTCTCATTCACTGCAACCGAGGAGAGGACCGCGGAAGAGCTGGTGTCAAAGAACAATACAAGGGCATCCAACAAATGGCGCTGCGAAGAAGGGTGCTGGGAGGAGTCATTACATTCCCTGTCCAGGAGCGAAAAAACAGGAAGGCCAACTATAGCGGAGCGGCCATTTTTGAAGCGGCTATTTTGAGAAGTGCAGCTTTGTCGTTGAAGGGCTGCTGGAGGTTTAAGTGTGGTCATAACTGAAAACTTGCTTCAGTGAGGAGGGCGATCAGCAGCGAGATAAAGCAGTCAAAGGAGTGAACTACTGCCGCTGCTGAAGGCACGAGGGTAAACGTGAAGTAGAAGGAAGTTTTACCGTGAAGTCATAGGCAGCAGGGAAGTGAGTGACTGGTGACTGGTGACTAGTTTTTCTTCACTCTTATTTTCTGTTCACTTTGCTACTGTGGTTAATTTAAGGGTTAAGACATGGCAGGAGATCCCAGACCCCTGTCATGTTGCTCCTGTGTGATGTGGGAATTCAGGGACCGTTCCAATGTCTCTGAATCCTCCACGAGCTTGAAGTATTTCCAGTTGCAACTCCTGTCTGACCTCTTGACAGCTTTAGAACTGTGACTGTATTCACTTTGGAGCATCCGCGAGGCTGAGGGAATCGTTGATAGCGTGTTCAGTAAGTTGGTCGCACAGCAGATAAAAATTACTGAGGAAGAGGTCACCAATTACTGAGGTCACCAACAGACACAGGAAGAGTCGAAAGGTAGTACAGAGATCCCCTTGGATCATCTCGCTCCAAATCAGATATGTCATTTTGGATACTGTTTGGGAAATGGCTTACCAGGGGAAGCCAGCAGCAGCAAGGTTCATGGCACCCTGGCTGGCTCTGCTGCACAAGAGGGCAGAAAAAAGAATGGCAGAGCTATAGCGATAGGGGTTTTAATTCTAAGTGAAATAGACATTTATGGTTCTAGATGCCTCCTTGGTGCAAGGGTCAAAGATGTCTTAGAGTGGCTTCAGGACATTCTGGAGGGGAAGGGTGAACAGCCAGCTGTCGTGGCTCATATAGGCACCAACGATATAGGTAAAAAACGGGATGAGGTCCTGCAAGCTGAATTTAAGGAGTTAGGAGTTAAGCTAAAAAATAGGACCTCAAAGGTAATAATCTGGGGATTGCTATCAGTGCCACGTGCTAGTCAGAGTAAGAATGACAGGTTGTCTAAAATGAGCACGTGGCTTAAAACATGGTGCAAGAGGGAAAGATTCAAATTCCAGGGATATTGGAACCAGTTCTGAGGGAGTTGGGACTGTGCGAACTGAGCAATCTGCATCTGGGCAAGACTGGAACCCATGTCCTAGGGGGAGTGTTTGCTCGTGCTATTAGGGAGGGGTTAGACGAATTTGACAGGGGATGGAAGTCAATGCAGGAAGACGGAGGGAAATCAGGTGGGGCCAGTAACAAAAAACAATAGGGGGAAAAGTGAAAGTGGAAGGCAGAGAAACCAAAGACAAAAATCAAATTGGGCCACATTACACCATGATTCTAAAAGGGCAATGAAGGTAAAAAAAAATTGAGTCTGAAGGCTCTGTGTCTGAATGAGAGGTGCAATTGTACTAAGGTGGATGAATTAACTGTGCAGACAGTTGTTAATGGGTATGATGTAATTGGGATCACAGAGACGTGGCTCCAGGGTGACCAAGGATGGGAACTCAACATGCAGGGTTATTCAATTTTCAGGAAAGATATATGGAACAGAAACGGTGGTGGGTTAGTGTTGCTGGTTAAAGAGGAGATTAACACAATAGTAAGGAAGGACATCAACCTGGAGATGTAGAATCTGTATAGGTGGAGCTGCAGAAAACCAAAGGGAAAAAGACATTAGTGGCTGTCGTGTACAGATCACCAAACAGTAGTTGTGAGGTTGGGGATTGTATCAAACAGGATATTATAGATGCGTGCAGTAAGGATACAACAATTGTTACAGGTGACTTCAACCTACAAATTGATTGGACTAACCAAACTGGTAGCAATGTGATGGAGGAGGATTTCCTGAAATATATGATAGATGGTTTCCTTTAGCAATATGTCGACGAACCAACTACAGAGCAAGCTGGGCAGACTGGGTAATGTGTAATGAGAGAGGATTAATTAGCAACATCGTGATGTGAGATCCTTTGGAGAAGTGTGACCGGAATATGGTAGAATTCTTCATTAAGATGGAGAGAGGCATGATTACATCTTAAACTACACCTGAACTTAAGGAAAGCTATCTTTGATGGTACAAGCCATGCATTGGTTAGGATAAACTGTGCAACAATTGTACATCCCTATCTGATGTAAGAATAAAGTAGGGAAGGTGGGTCAACCATAGCAGCAAAGGAAATCTGGAATAGGCAAAGAGGAGGCCTATATATTGGTGAGAAAAAGCAGCAAACCTGAGGAGTGGGGAAAATTTAAAATTCAGTAGAGGAGGACAAAGGGTTTAATTCAGAAAGGGAAAATATATTATGGAAGTAAGCTAGCAGAAAACATAAAGACTGACTGCAAAAGCTTTTACAGATAATGTGAAGAGAAAAAGACTGGCGAAGACAAATGTAGGTCCCTTGCAGTTAGAATCAGGTTAATTCATAATGGACAACAAAGAGTTGATGGACCTGTTCAACAAATACTTTGGATCCGTCTTCACTAAGGAGGACACAAATAATCTTCTGGAAATGCCTTATGTATTAAAATATTACTTTTGTGTTGAACTTATTCCAGGAATTTACCTTTCCCATTACGTTTGGCATTTTCCAGTTGGACAAAACGTTCCGTTTCCTGCCATAAGGAACCTTGTTAAGAAGAAA